CATTTAACTGTGGGCTGACGAAAAAGGAGGGCAGCATCTGAGTCAGGAGGTTGATGTGACACTATTGCTGAGAGATACACCTTGAGGGTGGAGAGTGCCAAGTGATTATTGAATAAGTATGAAACAAATTCTAAGACCACCTCCATAGAGGTTGGTGAAGTAGGGAAATTTCTTGAGGTTGCAAATTTTTTTGAAAGCAAGCCCTTTGTTCTTGTACAAAGCTTTAGTAGAAAGTTTCCAGCGGTTTGAAATAATGGTATTCACTGAGGCAGTATTCTCCATGCAGTGAGGTGGAGAGAAGGGACGTCCGGATGGTATGTGGCTCCATCATATAGAGTGAGAAGATGTGGAAGGGATGGGAGCCTTATGGAGTCTACAGACAGTGTTGTCAGCATCGTGATCCATGATTGGCGTGGCCAGCAAGACGTGACAAGATTGGCATCTGCATTGTTGTGGTGTATCTTGACAATGGTGCGTAGTAACAGAGGAAACGGAGGAAAGATATAAAAGAGATGATTGGTCCAAGGAACCATGAGAGCATTGCCCTCTGAGCCGACTCCCATTCCTGCCCTCAAGAAGTAGACCACACACTTGGTGGCAAAAGCATCTACTGTCAGAAATCCCCACCTCCTACAGATGCAGAGGAATACAGTCTGATCGAGTGTCCACTTGTGCATGGTTGTAGTTGTCCTGCTGAGACGGTCTGCCCAGACATTGTTGTGAGTGGAGATGTGGATCGACAATGGAAAGATGTGGTTGTCCAGACACCACTCCCAGAACTGAACCGTCAGGTACAGAAGAGGAGATGAGTGTGTGCTGCCCTGTTTGTTTATGTAGAATGTGGCTGTAGTATTGTCCGTGACGATTTGTACTGCTGTGCCTGCGATGATGGGAAGAAAGGCACAGAAGGCTTTGAAAATCGCCAGAAGTTCCAAGTTGTTGATGTGGAGCTTCCGTTCCATTGGTGACCAGGGAACGTGGACTTGAAGTTCATTGCAATGGGTGCCCCAACCTACTGGGCTGGCGTCGGTGGTGATCCGTGAAGTGAGGAGAAGTGGGGCAAATGGATGACCCATGAAGAGATTGCAGGGATTGATCCACCATGTGAGCTGTTGTGCTAATTCGACCAGGGGGTTGAAGAGAGAGAGAGAAACCAAGCCTGAAGAGATCTCATTTTGAATCTAGCATGAGGTATGACGGAGGTGGTGGAGGCCATGAGGCCGAGGAGTTTTTGAGCCTGATAAGCCGTGACAAACTGTAGTGGTGCGAAGTGGTGGATTAGAGCTCCTATCTTGAGCGTGTGGTCCCGTGGGAGAAAGGCTCTTGCCCTTTTTGTGTCCAGCACTGCGCCTGTGTAGTTTGCCACTTGAAAAGGGGTCAACATAGATTTTTTTTTGTAATTGACCTGCAGTCCTAGACCCTCTAGGAGGGACAGAGCCATATTGGTGTGGCGCTCTGCCTGTTGTTTTGATGAAGCTACCAGTAGCCAGTCGTCGATGTACGGATACACCATGATGCCCCTTGTATGGAGGAATGCAGCCACTGGTGCCATACATTTCGCGAAGACTCGAGGGGCTGTAGAAAGGCCAAAAGGCAAGGCGGCAAACTCGAAAGAGGTGGAGCCAAGGGAGAAACACAGGTATTTGCGATGGTCTTGCCTGATAGAGATATGAAAATAAGCGTCGCTCAAATTGACGACCGCGAACCAATCTCCACGGTGAAATGAGGGAAGGATACGTTCTAAGGTAACCATACGGAAACAATGGTAAGTAATGAAGAAGTTTAGATCTCGGAGATCCAGTGGTGGGATTCAAATAAATTAACAGGTTCTATGTCCTAATGACCATTTTAACTATACCAAAAGATATACCGAAAGGTAGTTTAATAATTCACACATTAAATACTGCAATAAGAACAGTAAAAGAAGTATAGATTATGTTTAAAGGAAGATTTTTAATATTAAATACCCGACAAACAGTTATTGAAGATATTTCCATGTTGCTGTTTGATTGGCATCCTCACTTGCAATTTTCTTTCCTTTTATCCGAGCATTATCAGCTGTGTGATTTACCCTTAACCATCTTTGCACTGTAGGAGTAGGATTCCATTCCTTTAGCGGTAGGCCGATTAGACTGATAATCATTATGTTTGATATATTGGAAACAGGCGACTTCTCAGAACATAAAATGTTGATCTTTGAAAAACCACTTTCTGCTTCTGCTGAACTTACAGCAATTGTTTTGACAATATTTTTAGCACTTTCAGGAATTGAATAGTTCTGGTAGTTTTTAAAAACATTTTCCACAAAATCTTGATACTCATTAATATCAATCTGGTAATTGAAAAATGTATTAAATACATGCAATTGCTGTTCAGTTACTTTCCATGAAACTATTACTTCTTCAATATTCCAGTAATTTAGCTCAAAAAAAGTGAGAAATTGTAATGTATTACTATCATCAAATTGGCTACAACTTGGTTTTAAATGTCCACAAACCATTAATCTTTTTTTTTCCAAATTTGTTACAATGCCTTCTAAAAGTGTTTCCCGAGGAAGGCCAACAAATCGATGATTTTCTACAAAATCTATATTTTTGTAGAAGAAATTAATTCATTAACTTTTTTTTGTATGGACCCTTTTCTTTTTCAAGCATTTCAAATGCTTTAATGGATCGTATCACAAGTTTTTCAGCCTTTATTATTACGTCTGTATTTCTTGCTTGCAGTGCATTGGAAAGCAGAAAAATTTCAATCATCAATGCCAAATCAATGAAAAAATATTTTTAAGACGGGTAGCCATACCCAAGTACTTTGCATTTGAAGAAAAATATTTATTTATTTATTTATTTATTTATTTATTTATTTATTTATTTATTTATTTGATTTATACGCCGCCTATCTGGCTCACCGGGCCACTCTAGGTGGCTTCCAATATAAAATCAGATAATAAAAACATAGACAAATACATAATAATCAAACAGCAACAGCAGTAAAATAAAGAAGGAAAAGTAAGAGAGAAATCAAGAATTGGCTGGAGGGAAGGCCTGGATAAATAACCATGTTTTTAGTTGG